TACAATACTTGCTTTCCATGATGTCACATATCTTGGTGACCCCTCAGAAAGCCTCGCACAGTCCCTAATACAGATCTTCCCCAAGCCCTGAAACTGGAAGCAAATTTAAGACAAAACCAGCAGGAAGCAGGTCCACCTCTCACCTCCTGGGCGTGCCCTCACTGCCCTCAGTTTGGGCTCCTGAGGAACTCAGCTTTGGTTGGATGATCCCTGGACCCATCTGGAAGAAAAAGGCTAAAACCCTAAACTGTAAAGAGGAACTCATCGCTTCACTTAGCTGTCAGACGAGGCACTGTGCAGATCCCGAATTAGGCCATGAAAGTGACACCCGCTGATCCCATATAATAAAAGTTGCTAAACTCCCTGTCACAGCTTGCCTGCTGGCAGGGATGTCCTGGGCCAAGCACAGGGTCCCTGGGTCCTTCCAGGCAGCTTCACCTCAACCCCAGCGAACAGAAGACTGGGCAGAGCACACATCTCTCCAGCCCCTCATGGTGTTGGCAGCAAGCTCCAGACAGAGACTGAACCCAGGGATCAACAGGAAAGCTTTGCCGCCTTGGAGAAGTCCCTTAGTCTCTGGGCCTCGTTTTACTTGCTGTAAAATGAGGATAAGCATAATGATTGGTTTGATGCAAGGGATAAAATATACAATACATAGACACGTGTTGTATAAACAACCAAATGAACCAGATAATAGTGGAAAAACAAAAGAGGTGTATAATTTTTAGAGTGGTGTGATGGAGCCAGCTTGCAAGAGCCAATTTTTAAATGTTCAGAAATTTTGCCAGCCAGTTGACATCACGTTGGTAGCTTGAAATCAGCCACAGCAGGAGTATTTACACCGAAGAAATGGTCATATACTAAAAATCGGGGTTTTTTTTTCCAGAGAGCCGGTTGTTAAACACTTGCCAGCACATTGCTATATAGAAATAAGAGTAATGCAACAGGAGCCAGTTTGTTGTCGCTTCAAACACACCATAACTTTATACGTCCAAATGAACGTTGACTACTTCAAGACAGTAAGCTTAGGAGGTCATATTGTTTCCTAACACTTATAAAATTTTTCCATTTCCAAAAACATTTATTGAGACCTATCATGTGCCAGGCACCAGGCAAAGATTCAAAAAAAAAACAAAAACCCCTCCTCTAAATTGCTTATAGGGTGGTGGAGGAGGGAGAAAGCACATACTACGGGACATTCTGGAGTGGAGAGGTCCCAGCCCCAGCTGTGGGGGCCCAAGCCCAAGCCACTGGGAAGGGCACTTTAGGCAGAAAGAATGGCATATGCAAAGGCACAGAAGCAAAGGTGATAAGATAACTTGTTTAAATTCCTAAGAATTGGCTTTGAGGAAGTTTTAAAGTTGTTACATTATAGGTACCATTTACTCTAGCCAAAAAGTACATCCCTCACCTTGCCCCCTTCACCAGAATTTAGCACCAAATTTCCTTTGGCTGTTTCCAAAACTCAAATCTACTTTTCAGAGGGTGGGAATTTGCCATCACTGAGACCAGCTCCTCAAAGCAAAGAGGAGCTCCCAAAGACGTTTGGTAGAGGCAACATCCCTGGAGCATCTGAGCCCAGACTCCAAGTGGCTGTTCCAGGTTGAGCAGGCACTTGGATGTACACAACCACTTCAATTTCCATCTCATTGCTCAATAATGCTTTACAGGGAACAATGAGTGCCAACTTTTTTCTCTTAAGACACATCCACGTTTTGCCTTGGAGAATGCCAGAATTTGAATTTCAAAAATAAAGGCAAAAAAAAAAAAAATCCAAAAGTATCCAGACAGAAAAAGGAGGTTACCTACAAAGGAACAAAAGTCAAGGTGACCTCAGCCTCTGCAACATTAAACACTAGCAGACAGTGGAACCAGGTCATGAATCCTATGCCAGCCAAGTCATTGTCCACGTGTAGAGGCAAGCGAATGCCATTCTCTCATTCACATGGGTTCAGAAAATATATCACCAATATGCCCTTTTTGAAAAAAATATTTGAAGGCATATTAACTGTCTGGGGAGGAATTAAAACACAAAATTCAAAAACGGGGAAGTTGAGGTATCATTATAAGTGAGCAGTAAACCAATTAAGTCTAAAAAATAAATTATTGCTGTAAATTTGGTTTAAAATTGGACGTTAACCATTTATATGAAATTATAGAATAGGTAAAACTAATCTATGGTGAAAGTATTTGTTTCTGGGTGAGCAGGCATTGACTGGGAAGGGTTAAAAGGAAACTTTCTAGAGTGATGGAAATGTTCTTTCTCTTATAAGGACTTGTGTTACATAGAGGTGTACATTTGTTAAAACATTGAATGGTACACTTATAATTACATTTCACTGTATATAATTATATATCAATAAAAAACGAATAATATCTTGAGTCTTCTAAACTATGAATACAGTATAATCTTTCTTTAGGTCTTTAATTTCTCTTAGCAATGTTTCGTAGTTTTCAGTGTACAGGTCTTGCATGTCTTTTATCAGATTTATCCCATTTCATATTTTTGATGCTATTGTAATTGGCATTATTTCAATTTTTGATTGTTTGTTGCTAATAAATAGAAACACAATTGATTTTTACATACTGATCTTGTATCCTGCAATCTTGTTGAACTCACTAATCAGTTCTAGTAGCTTTTTTGGAGATTCCATCAAATTTTCTTTATAGACAATCATGTCATCTATGAATCAAGACAGTTTTACTTCTTCCTTCCCAATCTGGATGCCTTTAATTTCTTTCTCTTGTCTTATTGCATGGGCTAGAACTTCTACCATGATGTGAAGTAGGTGATGAGAATGGACATCCTTGCCTCATTGCCAGTCTTAGGGGGAAACGACTTAGTATTTCACCATTAAGTTTGCTGTTAACTATAGAATTTTTGTAGATATTCTTTATCAGATAGAGGATGCTCCATTCTAATCCTAGTTTGCTAAGAGATTTTTACCAAAACTGAATGTGAGATATGTGTCAAATTAAACATTAGGGAAATGCAAATAAAATGCTAATGAGATACCACTACATACTTACTAGAATGGCTAAAATTAAAAAGACTGACCATACCAAGTATTGGTGAGGATGTGGAGCAACTGGAACTCTCACTCAGTACTGGTGGGCATGGGATACAGCCACTTCGGAAAACAGTTTGGCCGTTTCTTAAAAAGTTAAGAAGGTATCTCCACAAGAGAAATTAAAGCACATGTCCACACAAAAACTTGTAAATGAATGTTCATAGTGGCTTTATTTGTCATATCCAAACACTGGAAACAACCCAAAAATGTTCAACAACAGGTGAATAAATCAACAATTGTGACATATTCATACCACATACCAGGAATGAACTATTGAACCTGCAATAATGTGGATAGATCTCAAAATAATTATGCTGAGTGAAAGAAATCAAAGGATATATAACATATGATTCATTTATATAAAATTATTGAAAATTAAAACTAATCTATAGACACAGAAAGCAGATCAGTGGTTGCCTGGGGACGACGGTGGGGGTCAGGGAGAGGCGAGAGGAGGGGACATGAGGAAGCTTTTGAGGGTTATGACTATGTCTATTGTGATTGTGGTGATGGTTTCATGGGTGTATACAAATGTCAAAACTTATCAAATTGTACACTTTACATATGTGCTGTTATTATACACCAATTATATCTCAATAAAGCAGTTTAGAAATGGAATTAAAAAATAATTTTTAAGAGAATGTTAGTACTACAAATCATTATTAAAAGAACATACACATAATATAAAAAAAATAATAGCAACGCTCTGAGATTTTAACCACAGGCAAAGTTAGCAAAGACTAGTAGGGTGGGGAGAACCTCTTGAAACAAAAGCAGCTAAAGCTCTCATCACAGGACAGGGTGTCAAAAGTCAGAGTTATTCTTGATTTTGATACTTAGAGAAATATAAATTTTTTTAAGAGTGTAGAGGAACTTCAAGTCCAGCAGAAGCAACTAGTTAGGCACTGGGGCCTCCCATCTTAAGAGGCTTCAGTGCCAATTTGTCACGCAGTGTGGGGATGGACTCACTGGCTTCCCAAGTCACATCCTGTGACTCTTCCAAATACCCAGAGCCAGGAACTAGATCAGCAACAACCTCCTACCCACGGGGACATATGAGACCCACCTGCCCTTCTCTGCTTCATCCTTGCCTCCTTGATATTTCAACTTAATATCAATCAGTGATCATCCAGCAATCCCACTGCTGGGCATATCCTGGAAGGAAATGAAATCACTATCTCGAAGACATATCTGCACCCTCATGTTCACTGCAGCATTATTCACAATAGCCAAGATGTAGAAACACCTAAATGCCCACGGACGAGGTGAATCAGTAAAGAAAACGTAGTATAGATAGATGATAGATAGATAGATAGATAGATAGATAGATAGATAGATAGATAGATGGATGGATAAAGATAGAAATATAAATATAGATGGAATATTATTCAGGCAAAAAAAAAAAAGAAGGTAATCCTGCCTTTTGCAACAACATGAATGAACCTGGAGGACCTAAGGTTATGCTAAGTGAAATAAGTCAGACAGAGAAAGAGAAGTACTGTATGACCTCACTTACGTGTGGAATCTAAAAAAGCTGAACTCACAGAAACAGAGAGTAGATTGGTGGTTGCCAGGGGCTGGGCGGGTGGGGGAGATGGGGAGATGTTGGTCAAAGGGTACAAACTTTCAGTTATGAGATGAAATAAGTTCTAATGCACAGTATGGTGACTATAGTTAACAATACTGTATTGTATACTTGAAAGTTGCTAAGAGAGTAGATCTTAAATGTTCTTGCCACCCCCAAAAAAAGACAATTATGTGAGGTGATGGAGGTGTTAACTAACCTTATTTTGTGGTAATCACATTGCAATATATACATATATCAAATCATCATGTTGTATATCTTAAACTTAAACAATATTATATGTCGATTATATCTCAATAAAGTTGGGAAGAAAACAAAACGATCAGTGATCCATTAGTCTGGTACCACACTGGACAGGTTCCCATCCATCCTGAGCTTTGACTCTCTTGTCTGTGAAGGCAGAGATTGGCTTCCTTCAAAACTAAGGAGACACTGCCATGTCCCCTCACTGAAGGACACCCTCCCTGGGGAAGGCGATAAAATGCAGGGCTTCCAGACACAAGCCTGGGAGGCAGACAAACCAGCCCCAGTGCTGGCTCTGCTGTCACTACTGTGCCCTTGGGAGGATCCACTAGGGTCCTCAGGTTGTTCCCCAGCTAAGTGGGAATGAAAACACCTACCTCTGTATGAAAGGCTTTTGCATAGCACCTGGCAAATAGCAATCCCGAAAAAAACACAGTGGTTATTGTTGTTTTATTAATATTAAAACTATCATTGAGGTGATGGTTCTTAACTACGAACTGAAAGCTTGAAGTTTGATCAATACTTTTTCTTTCATTCATTTTTTTTTCATTAATTCCAAAAGCTCTTTCTGAGGATGTATTAAAATACCTAACATGATATCTGGCGCATGGTGGGCACTCAATAATCATTACACATCCCCTGCCGTCACCACCCCTGCTAGGACCAGGCACTGGGCACCAAAGATGAACAGGCCCAGGCCCATTCCTGAAGGAGCTCTCAGTCTAGGGAGAGACAGAGGTGAACCCCAAGGTGCCAAGCAACCTGAGGTCAGTGCCAAAGAGAATCCCAGAGGGAAGACACAGGGAGGGGAGGTTGACAGCACCTGGTGACCAATTAGCCACAGCAGTCAGGGGCCTGGAGGGTCCATGACGACTGTCAGGCTGTCAGGCCTGGTTAACAGCAAGAGCCAGGGAATAGTATCAGGAAAAGGTGACCCAGGGAGGCAGATATTTGGGCAGGAATGTGTGAAGTTCACTTTGGGTCATGTTGAAACTGATGCTCTGTCTTTGGTGGTCCCCTTATCAGTGAGAACTGAATTTGTGGAAGGAGAACACAGCCAGGCCCAGAGATCTGGGATGTTCAGGCTAGGCCTGAGGATGGCAAGGAGCCCTGGGACTTTGCAGGCATGTGGCAGGAGGGGCCCTGGCCAGGAGTCAGGCAGCCTGTGTGCTAGCTGGAGCACCAACACTTACTAACCCTCTAAACAGGCAAGCTGTTTCACTTCTCTGAGTCTTGGCATCTGCTAAATGCAGATGAAAATACTCTCTTGCCAATTCACAGGGTGGCTGTGAAGAATCTAGAAGAAACTGAAAAATTGTATAAGGCTATATAAATAAAAGGGGTCAAGTTCAAAGTCCCCGTGGGAAAGCTGAGGCTCATGGTGATGTGATGCCCAGGGCCACACTGTGGTTTCTAAGAGCCATTGATCTCTGGTGCCTCTGCCCCTCTATGATGCCTTAGTCCCTCTGAGTACTTGCTGGTGGTACACTGAGCCTCCCTTGGGGCCATCCCAGAAGACGAGACCCTCAGACCCCAATCCTGCCTCTGACACAAACAGGCCTGTTACCTGCGTGGCACAGGCCAAGGTCAGCCTCTGCAGGATACATTCCAGCCCAGGTGGGAGGCAGAGCAGGAACCCACAGCCACAGGACAACCCAGGCCCTTCTGAGCCCCACACAGGCTGGGCTGGCGTCTGGGAAATGAGACATGTCTGGCTCTGAGTGTGTGCTCCAAGGAGGTTTATTAGTATCCATGCTAGGGAGCCCCAGGCCCTGCCCAGAACGAGGAGCTGAGAGCATCCGGATGGGGAAGCAAGGTCACCACAGGTTGACAGGCCTGGCACCCGTGGAGCTGGTAGTGTTTCTGCTTCAAGCACAGCCAATTCACCCCTCTTTGCCCTTTAAGCCTCCTCCTAAAGAGGTAGGGCTGTCCTCTCCATAGAGAAAAGAGGTCCCCAAAGTTTCTTGACCTGTCTGACCTCTGCCAGCCCCCCTGAAATCTAGACCCAGGCCCTCTGTCTGCTCCCGCACCTCAGGCAGCATCAGTGACCACATGTCCGGTGGTGTCAGCCCCACCCTCACCCTGGCAGCCCCTGTCTTGCTCCTAGAACCTGACAACTAAAGTCTGGAGTGGACAAATTCTATCAGGTTCTCCAGCTGCTCCTCCAGGCGCTGCTCGTCTCCGTGGTTCTCGATGACCCAGTCGAAGCCCCCAAAGTTGTCCAGGCCACATTCTGACTCAGCGTCATCCACCCCTGTGGAGGAAGCACGGCGAGGTCAGGTCCTATGGCTCCGGACAAACACTGGGCACCATCCCCAGGTGGAGCCCCACTCTCTTTGCCTCCCCTCTGCCACTCCAGAGCCGGCTCCACCCACCCCAGAGGGCACTTCCTCAACCCCTGAAACACCGGGATAGCAGGTTCAGCAGCCCACAGCCCCCGAGCCCCCCCACAGGGTCCTGCTAACTTAAGCCTTTACTTGCCACTGCCTGGGTGGCAAGTCACCTAAAACCACAGATTACCCAAAAGGACACTGCATTTTCATTTTATGTGAAGCTGGTTGTGTCGATTTCTATCCCTAAATCTCTGATTCAATCCCCTCAGGAGGCAGCATGTGTCATTCTCATCTGACAATGAAAATGGTAATAACAACATCGACCTCAATAGTGGGTTGTGACTATACAGTGAGATAATGTGTACAGAGCACACTTAGCACAGGCCTGGCCTATGGGAGTGTCCAGGAGACGAGCAGCCATCAGGAGGGGTCAGACCCATTGGAGCTGAACTTCCCGAGTCAGTGACCCACGGCAGGAAAGAGGCCTGAGCTGTGCCCCTGAATTGCTTCAGAGCAGGTCCTGGGCCTGCATGACCAAGGCTCCCTAGGAAAGTTTCCTCTTCCCCTGGTCCCCCCATTAATCAAACAGGAGAGAGGTGTGTCAGGCCTGCCCTCTGACCTACTGTCAGCTCCCACCAGGCTGGACAGCAAAGGTGAAGGACCATGGGGTGGGTCTCAGCCAGACATCCAGAAGCCCACTGGCCTAGAGAAGACAGCCCAGCTAAGGGTACCAGGCCAAGGTCATGGGGGAACTTTATCCCTAAGGACACCCTCTCCCACCCCACTCCATTTTCCAAGCTAGGGGCACTGCTGAGCTCCAGGCCTCAGATTCCCTTTTGTAATCCCTCGCTCACTCGCCTACAGCCTGCCAGAGAGACAGCAGAAGACCTGGAGCATGGGAGTGGGTAGCCTGGTCGACAGGTGGGGTGGCTGGCCTGTGTGCCGGGCCTTGGGGGCAAAGGTGGTGAGCAGCTTACCTGGAGTGAACACCCAGCCCCGCTGCTGTCGGCTCTGCTCTGAGGCCACCACACGGACTGTCTGCGTCGCAGCCCCATAGGCCTCCTGAAACCACTGGATGTCGGACACCCTCCGTGCATCACTCACCAGCTGCAGGGAAGGGACACAGACAGGTGACCAAAAGGACATGGTGCAGGGAGCAGCAGGACAGGGGCTGGAGGTGAGGGACAAAGATGGGAAGACCCAGCCCCACTCCAAATAAGCAAGAGCACGGGGTTAGGGGGTGGACTACAGAACCCAGACAAGTGTAGCCCCATTCCCATTATCACCCACCCAGCTGGGACAGACACCCCTCCTCCCTCCAGGCAGCCCTCCCTGATCACTGCAGCCCACAGCCCGTTCTGCCCACACTGTCTCTGCCACAGACACACACATGTTCCGTGGTCGTGTTGGTCATCACTGTGCTGAAGAAGAGGCCTCAGGCTTTGAAGTCAGCTCAGCCAGTCCCACTCACTCATTTTACAGATGAGCAAACTGAGGCCAGAAACAAAGATACTCTAACTGGTCCCTGCCCCCCAGCACCTTTTAAAATGTAAATGTGATTTCTGTCAGTCCCCTGCCCTCAACCCCTCAAAGGCTTCCCATCATTCTAATAAAATCCAAAGCTCTCACCCCAACTTACAAGGCCCTACAAGATCTGGCACCTGTTTCCCATCGTCTTCCCCTCATTAACACCACTGCAGAAAACTCACCTCCTTGCTATTTCTCAAACCTGCCAACCAGGTTTCCTCCTCAGGTCATTTGCACATGCTACGCCTCTGCCTGGGTAATCACAGGGTAGGTGCCCTCACTACATGGAGGTCTCTGCTCAGATGTCACCTCCTCAGAGAGGCTTTCCCTACCATCCTGGCTCCCTTCCTGTCCCTCTTGATTCTGATATGCTGTTTATTTTCCTCTGAGCACTAAGTACTCTTGAAATCATCACTATTTACTACTTTGTTTGTGTGTTTATTGTCTGTCTGCCCTCCACAGAGTCAGCTCCAGGAAGGAAAGGGCTGTGTCTCATTCACTGCTATCTCCCTGGCCCCTAGTGCACCATCGGACACACGATGAGCACGCAGGAGCACACGCTCAGTGGGTGAAGGAATCAGGAAATAAAAGGGCAGCTGTTCCTGTCCATGCTGCTGACATGTTCATCAACCCAATTATTAAACAAGTATCAGAGTGAGCACCCACTGGGTGGTGGGCGCTGTGCCAGGCGCTGGGGATAGAGTGGGGAGCAAAACAGACCTGGTCGTGCCCTCAGGGAGCATACAGTCTAGTGGGAAACAGACACTAAACCCACAGCTTCACTAACAGCCGTGTAATCACAGTCATGCCAACAAGCATCTCAACCTTAACACCACGGGAACAGAACCCCTGATTTTCTCCCCACACCTTCCCTGTCTCAGAGAATGACAACTCTATTTGTCCAGCTGCTCAGAAGAAAATCCTTCGCAATGTCTCCTGTCCTCACACCCCACAGCCAATGCACTGGTAAATCCTATCGGTTCTATCTTCAAAATCTGTGCAGAGTCCACCCCTTCTCTCCACTCTACCAGTACTCAGAGCTGAGCCACAGCCACTCTGCCTGTCTTCCAGAAAGATCCTCGATCTGGCCTCTCTGCTTCCACTCTTGCCCTTCCCCCAGCAGCCAGGATGAGGCTTGCAAACCTTACATCAGATTGTGTCTCTCCTCTGCTCAAAACCCTCCAATGAGTCTCCATCTCACTCAGAGAAACATCCAGGTTATTCTAAAGAACCAGCGTGATCTGACCTCACCTCTTGCCACTCACCCCTCACCCATATCCATTTGGCTCCCTCTCTCACTTCCATCAGGTCCTGCTCAAGTGTCACATCAGCGAGGGCTTCCCTGACGCCCTTAAGAAAGCAGCAACCTGGCCCCCTCACACCCGTGGCCTGGTGTATTTTGCTTAGTATTTATCTCCACCTGACACATTCTACATTTATCTAGGGCCTAACTCCCTTCATCCCAGCTATAACGTGAGCTCCCTGAGGGCGGGGACTTCCTCGTGTTTTGTACTGATGTACCCCCACATCGCCTGGACCCAGGCCTGGTACAAGGAGACACTGCTGGCGGCCAGAACGAATGAGGGAGGGAAAGGGTGAGGGGCTGTGGGAGCACCTGACAGGGAGCTCCAGTCAAGACCTGGGTGTCAGGGAAGTCTTCCCTGCGGAGGTGCCAGGTAAGCTGAGCCGGCACTAACCAGGTGAAGAGGGAAAGGAAGGGCAGTGCAGGCTGGCAGAAGAACATGTGCAGAAACCCGGATTCCAGAAGGAGCCTGATTTCCTTGAGGAACAGAGAGACGGCCGACGTAGCTGCAGCTTAAGGAGTAAGGAGGCTAAAAGGGTAGCAGGAGCCAGATTAGTGATGGCCCAGAGGTTCATGGTAAGGATTTTGATTTTGTTCATCAGAACAATGGGACAAAGGGTTCTAAACAGAGGAGTGACATGACTTGGTTAATGTTTTTAAAGGTCACTCCAGCTGCTGTGTGGTGAATGGATCATAAGGGACAGAGCAAAGCCGGGACCAATGTGGGGGCTACTACGATTGTCCAGGTGAGAGACAGCAGGGCTGGGACCAGGGAGGTGGCAGTGGAGATAGAAAAACGGACACATCTGAGATTATTTGGGGAAAGGCAGAGGGCTGGGGAAATGGGTTTTCTTAATTCTGCCATAGTGCCACTTACCCAGACCGGCTGGGAGACGCCCTCCACAATTTTCCTGCAGAAGAAGCCTGGGTCAGCCTGGCGCTTCTCCTCCCCCCAGCGGATCATGTCCCTCCGATAGGCCTCCTTGTAGGTGCTGGCATCCAGGAGTCTCTGGAAGTTCAAGCCATGCTCCTGCCAAAGCACATATGTCTCTGCCACCAGCCTCTCAACCTCGCTGGTCTCTCCTAAAGCAGGCAAAGGGCCATCCCTTCCTCGCCCGCCTCCCCCAGGACGACGCAAGGACTAATGAGGCTTCCACCAGGACAGAGGCCTGCAAGGGAAAGGGCCCTAGAAATTAAGAAATCCCAAACACTGGCAGATGGGTAATCCAGAAATTGTTTCCGTTTATCTTTTAAATGCGTGATGTGGTTTTCTCTTTTGCCACAGTTTCACCTTCCCAATTATTTCTGGCTTAAACTAATCCTGAAATTAGTTTGCATCCCCTGGGCACAGGCTTAGCCTTCAACCAAAGTGGGAAATCTGAAAACACTGCATTCCATGTCCTTCCACTACCTCTTCTGGCATCGCTTGTCCCCATCCCAAAGCTCAGGAGGCTTGGCTTCCCCGTCTCTCTCCTCTCCCTCACCCCATTCCTCATCCCCAAATTCCTGGCATCTTTGCTGCAACAGCATCACTCCATTTGGCTCCAGGCACTCCTGGGGCCTCCCACCCAGAGGGCAGGAGGGGCTGCTCTGACCACCTTGCTTCTAGACCTGGCCTTCCCTTCTCCAGGGACACTGACAAGCAAGAGGGGTCCATCCAGAGGGCCCCAGGACGGGAAAGGTCTGAAAAACATCACTTAGTTCAGCTCCCCTACTAACTCACTGCAGACTGAGGGGGCCATGACAGACCGGTCAAATCACCCACCTGTGCCCTGTTCCAAGGTAAGGCCAGCAGCTACCTCCTATTGGGTAGTTGCCAAGTTCTACCACAGTGGCCCCCAGGAGCATCATGTTCTGCTTGTCAATTATAATTCCCATTGCGACGTAGAAACCAACGCGTTAACATTTCATTTGGGATTTGTTTTTAGGGGACATGGGGGATGGAGCGGTGCTGGCCTTCCAAACAGCAGGGGCAGGCTGGCCTCTCAGAGTCTCCTATGGAGGTTTTAAAAATGCAAACTCTTGTCCCCCTCACCCCCTAGCCTGGCTCACAGGTCTGGAATGGGGTCTAATTTGAGAACTTTGGAAGTAGATCAGCGATTTTCAAACTGCTCCTCGGAGCCCTGGGGTTCTTCGGAAGTGCCCAGGCCCCACTGGGGAAAGCTGAGTGCCTCTCCCTCCACCATCTTTCCTCCTGCCCCTCCCACTGGACGCATCCAATTTCATTTGGGAAAGGTTCCTACTAAAAAAATTTGAAAACCACTGAACCTGTTATCCCCAGGACCCCCCAGGCTACCATCCTATAACTGGGTCTGTTTAACTGATGGGAGAAGACCCAACGGTACAGGAGAATGCTTCCTATGGAGACGGGTCTGTTGTACGGAAGAGGGGCACAAATTCATTTTGCGTGGCCCCAGAAGGCCAGACTCAGGCCAACTGACCAAGAGAGCATGAGCACATGGAAGGGCGCACCTAGAGGTCAAGGGAGGAAATGTAAGCGATGAGGGGACTCTTCGTTGCGTGGGAAGCTGATCTCGCCTTCCAGGTTCCCTTTCTGAAGTATAAGATTCTAAGAGTTCCTGTTTATTTTTTACAATCCTTTTTTTTTTAACCTACATAGTTCAAAATTCAAAAGATACACATTCGTTTACAGTGTTCCCCAGCACCGCAGCTCCCCTCCCTGGAGGCAACCAACGGTACAGTCTCTTATGTATCCTGCCCAGGCTTCTACCTGGAACCTGGTAGAAGCACCTGGAACAGTGCTGAACACAATGCAGGCACCCCATAAACATTTGCTGAATGGCTGAATATATGAGCAAATATATTTACAATTTTTCCCCATTTTTAGACAAATATAGCATTCTCTATACACTGTTCTACATCTTGCTTTTTTCACCTAACAATATATCTTGATGACTCATGTGATTAAATTTCTATGGGGAGAATTCCAAAGGCTGTGGCAGGCCCGCTGAGGGGGGGGTGATGTGCGGTGTCATATTTTTTTGAGTAAGGGGACACATGCAGACCTTTACTGATAACACAGCATCAGAGCTGCCAACTCGCATCTATAGCCCTTCCTGGACACACTTTCTTGAACACACTCTGGGGAGGTGGCCTAAAGTGAGTGAGGGCAATGGGAATGAAACTTAAGCTAAAAATGCCCCCAAAAGGTCCACCCACAAAAAACTGCCCTAAAACTGCGACCACGCTGCCAACAGTGGTCATAGGGACAGTGCTAGTGACTCAAGCAACAGCAGAGCAACCACAGTCCAAGAGCCGGCTCCTTCCAAGCCACCAGATGCCACAGAGCCACCACCTACCTGAGCATACTGCTCCTTGAGTGGACTGGAGAGCCGGAGGACGGCACAGATGTCAGCTCCGAGTCTGTGGAACAGGAGATCCAAACCCAGTTAACCTAGAGTTTCCAGGCCCACGAAGAGAAGTCCAGAGGGTTGAAGTCCCACTTCAGCAACTGATACCTACGTAATTCTGTCAGATCTCAACTTCCCTGATTCTATTTCCTCATCTGTAAAATGGGGTAACATTCTGTTCTGCCTCCCACAGGATTATTTTGAAACTTGAATGTGAAAGAGCCCTGAAAATAACAGGTAAAACAAATAAAATGATAATCATAGTGTGAACATCCCTGCCTGGCAATACTCTGGCTGGATTAGTTACTCATGGGCCCCTGAACAAGTTCTCTCACAGCCAGGGGCATCTCAGTCTCAACTGACTTGGTCACCACAGCACAAATCATTCATTCATTCAGGTGCTCAGTTTACTCATCCAACCACGTGTCGGGTACTGTGCTGGGATCCAGGTGACACAATGTGAATAAGATACCTGATTCCTGCCCTGACCTGAGATGCTCACAGATTCACTTAACCACTGACAGGGTGAGATAGGTGTTCTTATTTCCGTGTTTCAGATGAGGAAACCGAGGTTGAGTGAGGAGAACTGACCCAAAACAACACTGCAAGTAACGAAGCCAGTATTGGTAAAATAATAATAACAGTCAACATTTAGTTCCTGCACCTTTATTAGGTGCCAAGAATTATTCCAAGCCCTTCACAAGCATTACGTCATTCAATCCTTACAATCACCCTGTTATTATCTCCATCTCACAGAGGACAAAACTCAGGCACAGACTAGATAAGAAACTTGTACAAGATCACACGTGAGTAAGTGGTGAGTCAGGATTTGAATCCCAACCGTCTAACTCCAGAGCCTATGCTGCTGACCACTAGTTGACCTCTGTTTGGGGGTAAGGAGAAATGTAACTTAGGAAAAGGTGGTGGATACTTAGTGGTGAGAGATTCAGGAGGCCACCTCTGCCCTGTGTTCCCCTACAACCTCTTAGAAGCCCTGTGGGGCCCAAAAGCAGCCTCCTGGTACCCCAGCACACTGGCCTTCAAGAGGAGAGGAACCCCACTCCACTTTCACCCTGGCTCCTCTGCTCTCCTCACCCAGGCCCCAGCAAAAATGCTCCCACAAAGAACATCTCACTTTGAGAGAAAACACTGAGCAAAAGGTATTCTTTGGGGAGGCAGTGAGGTAAAGCAGAAAGAACCCACTCCTTGGAGCTAAAGCTGATATGAGTCCTGGATCTGCCGATTACTTTGTGTCCCTGGCAAGTTTGAGGTTGTTTCACTTGTTTTTTCAACTTTTCAGAGCCTCAGTTTCTTCACCTGTGAAATGGAGATACTGACACAATACCACACAGCACCTAACAAAGAGGTTTTGAGGGTTAAATGAGATAATATGTGCACACAGCACCTGGCACACAATAAAGGGTCAATAAACCCCAGCTGTCAGGTGGTGTGCTGGGCAAGGATGTGTCTTTGGAGTCAGACACTACTGGGGTGTGGTCTTAGGCAAACCTTTTATCTGTGACTATTTGCTCATCTGTAACAGATTAGGAATGGTGTATAAAAAGTGCCTTGGTAGTAACTGTCAATGCTTCTTGGAGACAGAGACCTACAGGTTAGTCTTTGGAGAGGTGGCCGCCTGGTCTTTGAGGTGGGCGTGTGTAGACTGCTGTTTTATGTGCTGGTGACAATCCTCCGCCTCTTGCCGCCCAGTGCTCCCCCTGCCCTGCAACCCGAGGACCCACTCCAAAGATCATTCCACCGCCCCAGACGCACCCCTCGTGTCACGTGATGCGGGGATCTCCCCCTGCCTCCTCCTTCCCCGCCCCACGGACACCTGCTCTGCAGCGCCTCGGTCACGAAGTCCTTCCCGGATTTCCTCTTCCCGCTGAACAGCAGCACCAGCCGCGGGGCGCCTCCCAGCGGGGCCATGGGGCCGCCACACTTTGCGAGCCCTAAAGCTGACACCTCTCCCAACCCCTTAAATCGGGCCACCCTGGGCAAAATGGACGCGGCCACTAGGTGGAGCGGAGACAAGGAGAGATTCCGCCCCGTCTTCTCCACAGCTGTTGAGAGGACTGTCAGCCCGCGCTTGTGCTTCCGCACATTTTAATTAATGTCTAAACAAATTAAATATGGAAAGAAAGAAGGCTAATTCCCAGGGCAGCTCTCTCCCCTGAAGAAGCTCCCCTACCAGGACCCACTTAGAACAGCCCAGCCCCGCCCAGAACCCGCCGTCACAGCCCCGCCCTCTTAGCTGACTCCGAGCTGGACGCAACTATTTTCCTCCTAGGGGGATGACGTCTTAAAATTTCCTAAGGTGAACCTCACGTGGCCTTCCACACAACCCTACAAACATTATGGGAAAAAGAACAAACGTGATAATGTTGAAGAAGTTTTTAAAGCTGCGTTTTTATTTGTGCACTTTAATGCTTGTGCTAAAGCAAATCTGTATTTGCCCTATGTGAAAATGGGTCTTTCTGGAGAGGAAACGAGGTAATGACGCAAGAGGGTTGGCGGGTGACGTCATACTAGGGGAGGGGCTTAGTCCAACGCGCTAATTTATTGTGAAACAGGTTTTATAACTGGAGAGGTCGCTGCGGTTCGGCCCTTTAAGCCCAGGGAGAACGCTGACATCCCTTTTCTAACCTCAGCCTCCCCTCCAAAAGTTTTTGAAGCGAGAGAGCCGGGATGACGTAGGTGACATCAATAGAATAGGTTAAAAAGCGGCTTTGAAGCCACCCCTGGACAAGATTACCTAGTTTTATCCAGAGTCCAGCTCCCAGGCAGGAGTTTGAGGGGCAGAAGTAATGGGTAGTGAAGTGAGGTCCCTTCCCTGAACTCCCAGGTCTGCCTCTGCCCACAGCAGCTGACGCCCAGTCCCATTGACTAAGTAGAGTTGTCTGTGGCTTTGCCATCGTGCATTTTTATGAGCTTGTCAAAACAGCCTGCAACCCATTACTACCTCCATTTTAGGAGCTATAGAGTCATGTAAGAGAAAAAGTGAGGTGGAAAGACCTACTTTGGGGGAAACCATTAATTCCCTGAATATTGAAAAGATAGCAGAGAAGCTAAGGAAAGAACGGTCAACGGTCAGATGCAAAAAGAACAGACTTCAGGAAGGTCCCTTTTTTTTTTTAAGCAACTCTGAAAGCACTGTGCTCAGAAGGTAACACAGTGGAGTTTTAATACCACTTTGACACTGTGCAGGAATGTGACCTTCAGCAAGTCACTCAGTTCATGGGTGCTAATGCCCACCTCACCGGGTTGCAGTAAGAAGGAAATGAGGAAAAGAGATGCTCAAGTATGATAAAAATACTTTGTAAATTCTCAAGTATCAGCCAAACGTGGAGTTGTTATTTATTCTGAGCACTTTGTGAGTTTAGAGCTTATGATTCAACACAGCATCAGATTTTCCAGCTCACCTTGAATAAGCATTTATTTGGGACTCCAAGGAAAGCCCAAATCCCCACTCTGCCAGCAGAGACTGAAAGGATTCCTGCACTCACATTCCTGCCTCCTGAGTCCCCACTGGGAAGGAGGGGGGACTCCAAACCATTACTCCCCTGCCCCTTGGAAAACTCTGGCCCCTCTAAGGCTCATACCACCTGGCTGAGCTACCCTATTCCCCTCTTCAGTGTTGACAGCCACCAATCCTGGTGGTCATTCTCATTTACTCAGCGGCTGGCTCCTGGTCTTCTTTTCCATCCTGTTCCCATCATCACTCTCTGTGACTTCACTATCCACATGGTCAGCCTATCCAATGCCCTGACCACTCAGCAACTTGGCCTCCGATGTCCAAAGGTTTTTTCCTCCTCTTCTCCTCAGACACCAGCTCCCATGGACACACCCTGGACCTTGTCATCACCAGAAGCCATTCAACGTGCAAATTCACACACTCAACCACCCTAGACTCCAAGGTCATTTGCTCAAATACTCCCCAGAGCAGTGCTTCCCTCCCAGAGCCACCACTAGCCCATGGAACTCTTTCTACTATATAACATCTGCTCTTCCTTCCTTCCACAACCAAAGGGAATCCATCAAATAAGCGGATACATGTGGAAAGCTTTTGTAAGCTGTACAGGGCTGCACCAATGTGAGGCACTATTTTTAGGGTAGAAGGGCCAGTCTGAAGGCTGGGGTGCGGCCGAGGGTGAGGCAGGAAAGGGGGGAGGAGCAGGATTGTCTGACAGGAGCAGAGACAACCCGGGAAGGGAGTGGCCAGACTTCTTGGGGATGCCAGACACAGCTGCTTCATGGAGGAGTCCAGAAGACGGTGCTTGAGGAAGCCCGTGTTGGCCTTAGTCAACAGAGACATGCCCCCCAGAACTCAGGAACGCAATTACCCCTGAGAGTCACCCCTCACTAAAGGGGCAGACCATTTCAAGAGAGGTTTGCCTCACCGACCGAGAGGACAGCTTGGAGGTCAAATCTAGGCCTGTCTGAAGGAAACCTGCTCACTGTATTAACACACCCAGAGACAGTCCAAGCCTGCAGGGGGCCCACTCATACAGCTCTGCAGAGCCTGGAAGAAGGAGGAGCTGGGCTCTGTCAGTGCCCTGCCAACCCTGCCCAGGTGGAGGGAGCCCGCAGGGGGTACCAAGGTCTACCCCTCCAAGGCAAGCCTGTCCCATAGTGGAACCAGATGCCATCCTGACTCAGTGACAACAACAATTACCCTTGCTTCAACCCCAGGCTTCTGATTCCAGTCTATCTTCCCATGGTCGTTGTCCAGATGGCCCATGCATTCCCCTCTGCCAGTGCTCATAAATGTGAAGGTGGCTTGTGACTCAGTCCTCGTGTGTTTAATGACCATTGCTTCAGGGGCAATGGAGCCTGGCAGATGAGGGATAGAATGGGGTGGAGTTTATAAGGAAGTGGTACAATAGGGAAAGAGAGGAGGGAGAGTTAGTCTTTGAGGAGGTGATGGGAGAGAAGTCCATTCATTCATTCATTCATTCATTCAACATGTATTCAGATGTCTAAAATGTGCCAGGTACTGCTAGAGACGCTAGAACAGAGCGTAAACAGAGCAGAACAGAGCCTGCTCTCAAGTAGCATTCATTCTCATGGGAGACAGGCAATTACCAGACAGCTTAAAAATGGAGCTTGAGACAGGGCCAGTCTTCCTCAGCAAAAAGAGGAGGATGGGCATGGATGTTAGCTCAGGGCTGATCTTCCTCACAAAAAAATAAATAAATAAAATAAAAAATTAAAAAAAAAAATTGAGCATGAGAGACTTAACCCCAAAATTGGAGAGGGAAAACTGATATAAATTAAAACTTGCAAGATGCTCTGATTATAAGCTGGAAATGGCTCTAACTATGCAAACTCATGTTGTTCCCTCTGCCTGAAACACTCTTCCGATCTTTTTTCTGTGAAACAAACTCTGACTTGCACTTCAACACTTAGCTTGTCCTGCCTCCTCCAGTGAGCCTTCCCTGCCCCCGCCCCATCTGCCTTAGACACCTGTTTCCTGTGCTCCTGATACACCCAGACTCCCCCACATCACAGCATCTCCAGACACTATAATGATCAATTTACTCATGTCTCTCCCCCAGAGAGCTAATAGTTACTATTACGGAGCATTTCCAATGTGCTGGACCTTTTCCCAATCATATGACATAAACACTATTATCTCTACTTAAGGATGAGACTACTGAGTCTCTTTATAATGAAGAGATTTGCCCAGGAATTTACCAAATAGATTAGCGTACATGTGTCCCCACCATGGGGGCCCACTCCAGGGAGAAAGGGCAAAAAACTTCTTCCAAGCAAACAACTGAAGAGTCAGAGACTTAGGGTCCCACTCCTCTCATGACACCCCTCCCCCAAATTCTTTAAGTGCCCAGTGAGGGTGCAGCCAGAGAAAACATGAGGTCCCGGCCAGCTCTGACTTGGCAGGATTCTCTAGCTTTAAGAAAGGCTGCAGGCAGACATCCCTGTAGGTGAGAGACTGCTCGCTAGAGGTGGTGCCAGGGGGGCATCCAACCTCTCACCAACCGGTGCGCCGCCTCCAACAGACCAATTTGGACTGTTGGGTTCTCCTGTTCAGTCCTTGGTCTACAAATTATCTCCATCATTATGAGGTAGACATAGTACCTTGGTTTTTATGGCTGAGGAGACGAAGGCCCCATTCAATGAGCATAGCCAAGATAAAACTTGGGCAATCTGTAAATTAATATCGACTCATATAAAGACGTGCCTCTAGCATTCAAAGAGCATTTACTATAGTCTGTAAATACTTTTAACTTCATATTCTTGGTTTATCACATCCATAATGTAGGCAAAGCAAGGATCCTCCCTTCAAAAGAAACAGGCTCCAAAAATTTAACTAATGTCCCCAAGGATGGTGGCTACACCAAAATCTGGAATACAGTGAGAGAACAGAGATTTTCTCAAAACAAAGATTCATAATTTAGAGAAATATTTTTGTTTTTCTATTAGCTAATTTTGTAGTGAATGTAAACTTTGGAGCTGGGAATTAACCCCACTACTTTTAAAGAGGGACTGGTTTCATTTTACTGTTTTTCAACAATCTTGGTGTAAAGGTTGATGTTTATTTTCCAAAGCAGATTGAGAGACTTGTCTCAAAGTCAGGAGCTATAAGTGGTGAAGCCAGGTCTGTGTGGCTCCTAAGCCAGCCGTTTCCGGCCAGGGCGGCCTCCCAGACATGCAGGCCCTGCCTCCGCAGGCAGGGGTGGCCCCTTCCCTGTGCTTCCCTGTGCTTCTCCCCCTAGTACTGTTCTCACACTTCTCGGCCCCATGGCTTAGCGGTTAAGTGCACGCGCTCCGCTACTGGCAGCCCAGGTTCTGATCCCAGGCGCGCACCCATGCACCGCTTCTCCGGCCATGCTGAGGCCGCATCCCACATACAGCAACTAGAAGGATGTGCACCTATGACATACAACTATCTACTGGGGCTTTGGGGGGAAAAAAGGAGGAGGATTGGCAATACATGTTAGCTCAGAGCTGGTCTTCCTCAGCAAAAAGAGGAGGATTAGCACAGATGTTAGCTCAGGGCTGATCTTCCTCACAAAAAAAATAAATATTTAAAATAACATAAAATAAATAAAAATAACAAGGCTGCTGGAAAGCAAATCAAGCGCTACCAGCCCAGGGGCCAGGCGCAGGGTAAGGCTACGTAAATGACTGATGAATGAATGAATGAGCGAATGAATGGGGGCTCTTTGGTGGAGAGTTGGGAGGCCAGGACT